ACAAGCATATACATTGAGAATACACAATGGTTATCAATCAAAATTTTTGAAGATGAACATTCATGATTTTCATCATTTGAAACCATAGCAAGCATTTTTCATCAACTAAACATGTACTGAGAAAAATCTTACTTTCAAGGAGAAATTTGGAACAATATTAGCTCACTCTTGATGGAATGGAAGTTGCACTCACATGATGTAAATATTCAAAAAAATCATTAGAGCAAAAGTATAAAAGTGCAAGCATCATAATAAAAAGGAAACATTAAAGACATTAATAATCTTCAATTCCTTATGTTTGTTGAAAAATGGTTTGGTTGCAAAAGTTTTGTGAAAACATCGACAAGTTGTTTTTCACTATCAAAGTGCTCGAACACAACATCCCATTTTTCAACATGATCGCGAAGGTAATTCCCCATGCATGTGTTACTTTCTTGAGTTACTTTATTTGTAGTCCGGGAGATTAATTCAACTCCCCATAAGACTCATTTCAAATAATTCCCGCATAAGCTTAGAAAACTCTTTCACAAAATCGCATGTTAGTAGAATCAAACATGATGTAATGTCAAATGTGTTATGCTTGATGTTTAATGAAGCTAAACATGCTTTATACACATAATTGTTTATAAAAAATACATGAAAGTATAATACGATGAGATCATCATAAGTATATAAATTGATAAGTCACCATGATTATCAATTAAGAATTATTTTTCAAATGAATACTCATAATATTTATATCATACATCAAGTATGTCATGCACTTAGAGAAATAAAAAAGTGAAAGAGAGAACTTACTAACAAAGCAAAAGTTAAATTGATACTATCTCACCGTATAATATGACGAAGGATGCACTTGCATTTCACAAGGAACTCTTGAAAGAAATTCGAACCAAATGCAAAGTATTCCATAAATATTTTAGAAAGACACGATCTTATCACTTTTCACTTTGATAAAGTACCCAAAATTATAACTTATGATGAATCCAAAAAGGTCATTAATTTGATGATCATTAATTTTGATTGAACTCTCATCTTTATCCTTTTCATGTTAGTTATCTTTCTCCTCCTCATGTTTCACGGATTCGGGTTGATCAATTCCTTCTCAAGAGTCATTGAGTATGTCTCTTGATGATAAACCCACATCATGAAATGAAATACCTTTTCCGAGTATTCTTGGATACAACATCAAAAGTAATTTATGCATCTTTGACCAATGAAACAAAATTTATTGTTTCTTTCTAGATCACATAATCCATCATCTTTCCCCATATACAATAGAATTAGAATATATTCATATGCCTTGAGCCACTATAAATGAGAATCCATATTCTGTTCATAGAGTTATGACAAATGTTCCTACAAAAACAACAAGACAAGCTAGGTACTAAATCTCCATTAGGTCCTTAGGTGTTAGTGAAACAATTGGTTTAATTTGGGCAAGTCTTTCATACAAACATAGTGACAATTTATCACTAAAATGACTATCGCATACATGCTCGTATTTAGAGGTCCTTAAAATTGACGTCCTAAAGCTTTAGACTTTATTCTTTCCTCCTTATCTGTGTCTTTCTTATTTTTCTTCTTCTTCTTCTTCTCAAGCTTTTTCTCATGCTTGTCTAAGCAAGTAAGTTCTTGCTCACGTTCTTCAAACTTACCAAACAATGTAATGAGATCAAGTGTTGTAAGATCATTAGCCTCCTTGATCGCGGTGACCTTCAGTTGTCAATTCCTAGTAAGACATCTGACAACTTTGTTACTAGAAATTTCATTGGAAATAAGATTACCAAGTGTGTTCAAACGATTAATGAGATTTAATGTATTTTTCATATCATCATTATTTCATAGTGTTTCTGGCTTAGATGTGACAACAAAATTAGCATTATTTTGAGTAATAGCGTTACACACATCCTTGTCATATGAATTAACATGAATGTGCATACAAGCTTTCCAATAATTATAATTTTCTTCTGAAAAAAATTGGGGCTGTTTCGAAATCTCCTTTAGGTTTGTACGCCATTTTCTATTAAGAGTTTCGAAGCACAGAATAAACTAGAGCTCGGATACCACTTGTTAGACTACAACAACTCACTCAGATGGGGAGTGAATAGATTCCCATAATAAAATTGATATTTCAAAATGGTTACTTAAAATCGTATTTGTAAAATAACGTTGAGCGGAAGGTTTATTAGCCTAGCTCAAAGCAGTAGTCTAAACGAACCTAATTATTGAAAACTCAGATATGCACAAGCCATATGGAATTGAGATAATGATAAAATTAATGAACATAATAATATCTCAATTAATAGTTTAATATCAAAGACAACAATTTCATATTTCCAATGAAATCATATTAAAAATATTACTCGACACTTTATCGAACATGTCGCGCGCAATCAATTTTTCAGAATTTTCTTTGAGCTTAGTTGATATGAAAAAGTACTTACAATCAAAGTGATTATAAGATAATCAACAAATAAATTTAAACTTTAACAATCAAAGAAAAATTCTATACAAATTGATCAATCAAATAACACATTCAACAAATTGCACATAGAGAGTAAATGAGACTAAGTAATAGAACATTGCAATTTTCCTTTGAGTTGAACAAGCTACACAATTTGTCAAACACTTGGTGTGCAAGTGAGTTTCTCAGAATTTTCCTTTAAGTTCTGTTGATACACAAGCACTTATAATCAAAAGTGATTATGAGCAATATCAACACTTGATGTAAGTCAAAAATAGTTCAGAAAATTACTTACAATTCAATTGATAATGCAATGCTATTTGACAAATTTATTGAATAATATTAAAGCAAGTAAAAGTAAAAATAAAAGAGACACAAGGAATTTTTCTTCACAGTTCCCCACCATCGTCCTTGCGTGTGGGTACGTCTGCGCCTAATTTCAATAGAATTAGGATAATTCTTACTATGCAAAATGTTGATACAAGAGAAGTATTCAAGAGCAGCTCCACAAATCCTAATGCTTGTAGTTGATTCAACCCCTTATCTTCTTTTGATCTTTGATCAAGACTAACACCGATAGATATAACCTATTCGCTGCTTAAGCTATTTCCTTGCAAAGATTTTAAACACTCGAAGGATCCTTGCAAAGATTTCAAACACTCCAAGGGATTTCACTTGAGTAAATCCGATTGCAATCTATCCACACAAGATATTCAATTATATCTGCCACTTATTGCTACTACCTTGCAAAGATTTTAAACACTCCAAGGAAATTCGCATGGACGATTCTTTCTTTACAAATCTTGTCGTAAAACCCCCGCTCCAACATGGATCTTGGAGGGCAAACCCTAATGAAGATTTTTCCCGGATGAAACCCTTACAAAGCTCAACTCAATACTCAATTGGACACTATCAATCATCATCTAGACGACACCCCAACAGAACATCATCACAATGTAATGTTAGTGTGTATGCATAGGTTGGAGGTTGAAGATGAAGAGAAAACTAGGTTTATTTTGTGGTTTCACCAAGTTGGAATGATGCATGAATGATGTATTTATAATTGTGGAAGTTTAGATGCAAAAAAGAGATTTTCGAAATTAAAAAGAATTGAAAAATTGATCCAATCAAACAATATGTGTCGACCTGAAAATTGTATGTGTCGACACATAAATCAAATTCTAATTGCATGTGTCGACATGAAAAATGGATGTGTCGACCTAAGCAAGTCAGAGGCTACATGCTTTAAAAATGCTGTACATGTGTCGATCTCAAATTCGTTTGTGTCAACGCATAAAATCAATATTTCTGTAATTTTTTAAAAGTTTCAGTATGTGTCGCCCTGAAATACTTATGTGTCGACACATAAAATAAAAATTGATGCATAAAATGATTTTTCATGAATATGACTAATTTTAAACTTGTTTTAAATTATTCCTAAGACCTCTAATGCAAGGGAGTGCCACAAAACATAAGGACACCGTCCACCATACTGAAATACTAACTTTCCGAGTTTTAACATCATACAAAACATCTAATAGTAAAGTTACACTCACATAAGAAAAGAATGAGCATAGACAAATTCAATAATTTTCATTTTTGTCTTTGTTTTTAATAATTTAAAAATGACATGTAAGAAATTATCAAAAAAAGGCCATATATAAAAAAAATGATACTTTTTTTTGACAAAAATTAGACACGAAAACCAAAATTGTTTAAAAATAAATAGAGAAACTAATTTCGTAAACAGGATAAAACTGTTTAAATAAATAAATAAATAAATAAATATATATATATATATATATATATATATATATATATATATATATATATATATATATATATATATATATATATATATATATATATATATATATATATATATATATATATATATATATATATATAGAAATTCTCTTTTTTTTCCAATTTACAAAATTAATTTTTAAATAGTTTTGAATCCTGTATCTAAAAAAACATTTAAGTGTCATTTTTTATATACATGACATTTTTTAGATAATTTTTTTACATGACATTTTTAAATTAGCAAAAACTAAAATAAAATAAAAAAATTCAATCCTTCTATATGCTCATTCTTTTCTTCTTCTTTTATCTCTTTCTTCTTTTTCTAGCATTTTGTCACATCTTGAATTTTTTTTTCTTCAAATCTATTTGTTCCTAATTCAAATCAAATAACAAAATTAAATTCGTTTATTCCTTTTCTATTATTATTCTTTTTCTATTTATAAAAAACATTTTTTTTCATGAATCTCTAATTTCCAAAAAAAAAAAACATTATTTTATTAAATCTCCAATTTTTAAGTCAAGAACAAAAATGTTGTTCATATCTTTTATCCTTCTTCCTGTTTAAATCTTCTCATTTTTTAAATCCTTCTTCTTTATTATTTTAGTTCAATCTATAAAGTCGTTTTTTCAAAGAAGAACATTTCAATTCTATACTTTGTATTAAGAAATAAAATTGTCCAACCACCAAAACCAATATGCTAATCTAGAATCCCCAGACTAAGACAAATCAACCAAATGCTATCTTCTTTTGCTGGAAAATACTACAAAGGCTGAAATGCAACACAAATGCTAAAAGTAGAAGCAGTGAACATTGCAAGAAACATTTAACAACCCAAATGCTTCCCAATAGATCTGAGTCAGGTTTGTTGTGGTCATGCCCGCTTCCCTTCCTCTTCACACTAGTTGAATGAAAATTTCTAGTCTCTAATTTAGAGAGGGATGATTCAGAAGAAGCAAAAAGCTTTGCAGCAGATATGAGTCTTCTAAATCCATATCCACGTAATTCAAAATTCATAGCAGATCCAAACCCAATATCCCTTCAAAATTATTCATAGCAAAAATTTGGGTGGGAATAGAAATTAGAATAAGGAGGAATTGTTTGAGAAAGAAAGAAGAATGAAAGAAGACGGAGGAGATTAATGGCTGGAGGAAGAAATTAATTAGGTAGATTTTTTTTTCAAACAAAATTCAATACAAGAAGGAATCATAGGTAGAATCATACGCCTAAGTCAAGAATTGGCCGCCTTAACAAAACTATAAGCCACCGAATTCACTCACACTTAACAAAACTAAACTCATAGTTACAGTGAGAAGTAAGAAGATTTTATATACTAGTTATTATCATACTAAACTCAGAATTACCAGAAGTTATAGCGTTGGTAGCATGAACGACCAATTGAGAATAACTTTCAAAAATAACATGACCGCACTATATCTCAATAGTCCATTTAATTGCTTCCTTCAAAGCCAAAATCTCTACTTCAATGGTAGAAAAAATCCCAACATCTGAAGAGATACCCGCCATAATAAAGTCTCACTGATCTTTATTAGTCATTCTCAGCTATTTATTAAACCTCACATTCATGTTACATTTCATCCACCCAATTTTTGGTGGCTGCCACAATTAGGTAGAATTTGATATTCTTATAAAAATACTATTTCATTAAATATAGAAAAACATTAATTTTCTTTAAAAAAATTATTATTAATTAATTAATGACATGTCATATTTTAAAATAATTGAAATATTATATTATTAATAATATAAAAATGATTTGTAAAAAAAATTACAAAAAATGCCACGTATTCAACAAAATGACACTTTATTAGATAAAAGGTTGAACTGACTTTATGAATTGAACAAAATATGAACAATCAGCTTAGGAGTGTTAAGAAAAAGCATAAAGAAAAAAGACAAAATAAAAGGGAAAATAACAATGTTAAATAAGGGTAGAGTAACACCCAAACGAAAAAGCAACTCACGGTCAAGGTACAAAAACCAAAATTTATCGTATAATAGAAAATTAACTAGAATTTTGATAGTCAGACCCACCATCAACAAACTAGAAGAATCACTAGCAACACCAAGACCACTGAACTCTTTGAAGCAGATCAAAACTATTGAACTACTACTGACTAATACACAAGATAAGGTTCTAATGTCAGTCAGAGGAGGGTGAATTCTATTGGACACGTAACTTCATACACAAAAGGGGAATTATGGAGGTTTGAAAATTGTTGATTTAAATCAATTCCAAATCAGAGTTTGAAAACATTTTGTAAAACATTTGAATAAATATGCCTCGAAAATCTAAAGTAAAAAAATTAAGTTGAAAATAAAAGAGATAAGAGAATATAAACAAGAATAGAGAATTATAAAGGTTCGGTATAAAGAAGTGACTTGCTCATTTTCCCAAAAATTGATCTCGAGAGTATCCACTATTTCTTGAGAGCTTTTAGAAAGTTAAACCCACGAATCCCATATACAAGGAAATTAAATTTTCATGATAACTTTTAATTAAACAACAAACGGGGCTTGAAGCGGTTGATTTTCAAACCAAACAGCGAACAGGTTTAAAGCGATTAGTCTTCACCCCAAACAAATAATTTGCACAAGATGGTCTCAAACTAATATAGAGTTTTGTGTTGGTTATCGTCCGAACTGAATCGAGGTTTTATATTTGTTGAACACGAACCGAACCAAGATTTATACCAGGATGATCTCGATCTTATTGAATTTTTATACTAGACTTAACTTGAAAACCAAGAGAGATTTTATCACTAGGCTGATTTAAACCAATAGAGCTTTTAAGCGGGCTAAGCTCAATAATCATTGAAGAGATTTTTACTGGTTGATTTTCGTGACCCAAAGGAGAGCTTTTTCATGAGCAGGGCTCAAGAACCGAACAAAGACAAACAAACAAACACGAGATTTTTCAATTGTATAACTCCCAACCAAATTAATAACTTCCTAAGAAAGAATTATTTACTCAAAAGAAAATTCTACTCTTGTTAAATTTACAATCATGCTCGCACCCATATCCAAATTTCACACTAAACTCAAGAATGCTCTCAAAACACCATAGCTAAATCATATGTGACAATTTTGACAAATTTATAGAGATTATGAGAAAAATTAAAATTGATATATATATATATATATATATATATATATATATATATATATATATATATATATATATATATATATATATATATATATATATATATATATATATATATATATATATATATATATATATATATATATATAATATATATATATATATATATATATATATATATATATATATATATATAAAAGTAATTGTAAATCTGTAGGTAAACCCACATGAACAAATATTCACGGGTATATTCACGGAATATAAATTTATAAGTAATTCTGCAGAATTCAAAATCGATATGTAATTCTGCAGGTAGTATATTTCAAAATTAAAAAAAGAAAAATTTAATTGATAAATTGAGACCATGTAATAATTTAATGTGAATACTCTTGAATTTACAAGAATATGGCTCCCTTCCACTAAGTATATTTATTGCTTCTACTGAATATGATATACATATTGTATGATAAGACACAATAATAGACCATTAGAAGTCAACCTACTTTCTCAATCCATCTGTCATTTGTAATTGTATATTCTTTCATTGAGAACTGCTTGCTCATAATTGGAGCTTTCTCTTGATTGTTGAGCATAAGTCAAAACCTGTAAAATATAGGTAATCTGCAGTGAATCGTTTGCATTTCCAGCTAACCACTCTTGAGATGCAAAGTGATAATTGATAATATGACATAAATCTATATGCAAACCAAGGCTTTAAAGTCAAAGTTGTTTCTAAACGTGGTTAATGTATGGCTCCATTTGATGCAATGCAATAGTTAAGTATAGACACTTTAAATTATAGAGAAAAATTGCTTCTAGTCTTTTTTTATAATTAGCGACAGAAAAATTCAAAAATTAGTCTATAAATTCGTCGTCAATTAGAC